TTGCCCACTCTGTTAGAAACCTGACTCTATGCTGGGTCCAGAGCCTTAGAGACAAAAACTGGAAGAATTTCAGAATACAACCGTAAGACCCAAAGACTAAAAAAGTGGGAGAAACAAAATTTATATTTGATATGCATGTGGTGGGGGTAGTTAAAGAAGTTAAACCTAAAGCTCAGGCTTAGTGGTAGAGCACTTGCCTAGCATGTGGGGGTCCTGGGTTCAATCCCCAGTACAGAGAGAGAGAGAGGAGGAAGAGGATGAAGTGGTAAAACACCTCCTGTGCAAGCGTGAGGACCTGAGTTTGAGCCCCAGCACCAATCCCTGTAAAAAAAAAACCAAACATGGCGGCGAGAGCTTGTAACACCAGTGCTGGAGAGGACCTGAGTGGATCCCTGGAACTTGACTGCTAACCAACCTAGCCTAACCCGTGAGTCTCAGATCCCAGGGAGAGGTCCTGTCTCCATCTCAAAAAGCAAGGTGGCCAGCTCCCGAGGAATGACACCCAGGTCAGCTTCCACATGGGTCGCGTACACGCATGCGCGCGCGCGTGCGCGCGCGCGCGCGCGCACACACACACACACACACACACACACACACACACACACACAAAAAAAAAAAAAAACCATAATTATTACAGAAACCTTGACTACAGAAGTGACTTTGAACAGTGACGTCACAGGTTCATCAAATGTATAAAGATGGGACCTTAAAAAGAGACTTGATTTTTTTTTTTTTTTTTGAGAGAAGCAAAATATGGCTCCATTGTTAATGGGGGCGGCAAGAGGGAGTCCAGAGCTCTCAGAGAAGAGGTATGGGAGGGGCGGGAGAGAAGGCAGAGGTAAGTGCTTCTGGCAATTCCAGCCTTGTGCAGCCCAGAGCATTTTGCATCTACCGGCTACTTGTGACACATGGCCAGCTTTTAAACTTCTGGATTTTTTTTTCCCTAAGATGCCAAGATCTATTTTAAAGGAGAAAGGGGGATTTAGTCCAGGAAGGAATGGTAGAGACTGACTCAAACCTAGATTAGGATAGAAAAATGAGAGAGAGAGAGAGAGAGAGAGAGAGAGAGAGAGAGAGAGAGAGAGAGAGAGAGAGAGAACCTTTGATGTCTTGATGATCAAGAGCCGTGGCTTAAGGGCCAGACTCTTAAATCATGTGGCATTTACTGGCCCAGATTAAAAAAAAAATACTCTTGTGGATCAGTACGTGTATTCAGAATGGCTAGCTTCCAAAATCAGTCTTAACTTTCCAAGGGTAACGTGTGGAAGGCTTCCTGTAAGAATGGAGGGGGGCGTTTCTAGAAGGGGCGGCTTAATGGTTTTCTGCTCCCCCTCTCACCCCCAAATCGCTAACTGGTGTCCCTTTCCCGGAGCCCAAGTTCATGCCGAGGGCAAAGGGAATTAAGCAAGGAGGCTGGACCTGCAGCTAAGATTAAAGAGTTGCCAAGGACCTAATTTTAGGCCCTCGCTGTCCCAGCTGACGGCGGCCGGCACTGCTGACTTGGCCATGGGGACCAAAGCGTGGCCGTGAGCCGGTGCCGCCCGGAGTGGGGAGAGGTGCTCCCTGGCCATCTGCAAAAGCAATTAGCTTGCTGAGGGGTGTGTTTTGAGAGGGACTACCAATAATTTCTCCTTCAACAAATGTTTCTTCAGGTGTTCAAGAGTCCAGGAGGGAACACGTCAGAGCTTGGCAGACGTTCCCACAGGCTCGCCCCTCTCGCATGGATGCTTTCCCGCTTAGCAGAGCTCTCCACCTGGGAACTAATCCTGGAATTCCTGGGTTTGCATGACAAATCACCTTTGATCAGTTTCCTCTGGCTCTAAACTTACTGCCACAACCCAGGGAAAGTGTGGCTGGAGACTCGGCTTGATGGAAATCGGCATAGATTGATGGGACCCTTTCTTTGATTTTTGTGGGGGGTTTCACAGCAGCCTTCTGCAGGGATTTGGGCCGTCCTCTGGTCTCCATATATTTTCCACTTACAGGTTTCATGCTTAATTGTCTTCTTCAGAGGCCAGACAATGAGAGCCGGCATCTTCCAGATCAAAGGGGAAACAGAATATATTTTAAAGTGACAACTCTGTTATCCTGCGACTAGACTAAAACCAGAATAAACTGATGTAAATATGAGCCCCTAAACGAGTCCATGCTGAAATACTTCCAGAGAGCAAAATCTCTCTAATTACAACAAAGCAATTCTCCTCTCACACCACTCAGAAGAACACATCTTATTTTTGCACAATTCTCATGCCTGCGGCGGTCCACCTTGGCCACGGAGATTTTTCTGTCCCTGCGGGTTGGGAGCTGGGCTTCTCCACCGGGCTCTCTCTGTCTGCAGAGCGGGCTGTTAACAATGGCTCTTTGCCGGGGGCGATGAACAAGCAGGCTGAGGAGGTGCCCAGTGCAGGGAACGCAGCCCTTAGTGGAGGCTGCGCCCTTGGTCAGGGCCACTGTCACACAGACAGCTCGGGGGGCTTCTCTCCAATCTCCCAACAGCTTTGCTCTTCCCACCGACTCGCCTCACATCCTAGTGTCCATCTGTCTGTGTGTGTATTTCTACACCTGCCTCACACACGCATGCATGCATGCACGCACGCATGCACGCACGCATATACACACACATAGTTGCACCCCTCTTCCCTGTCTCTTGGCGCTGGCCCTTTCATCTTCTCCCTCAGGGATTCAAGATGTCGCTGCAGGAAGTGCTTGTCCGCCGAGGCAGCAGCCAGCAGAGCCCTGTGGCTTTGACAAACCTCATTTAATTGGGAGGAAGCCAGGAGAATTTGAAAGAACTGAAACATCCACGAGACTCCTTTTATCAGGCATAATTTAAACTCTGCATGGAAAAACCCCTATATGTATAAAGAAAAGTCAACTTCCCTCCTGCTGCGGGCTCTCTCCTCATCTCCCCCCAGCACAGGCAGGCTCCTGCAAGATTCCATCTTTTCATTTTTCTCAGAGTGTCAAAGTAGATTTGGGCTCTGCAGCAGGGTGAACAGAGAAGGAATACAGATTGTTCTCTCTCTCTCACCCGTGCGCGTGCGTACGTACACACACACACACACACACACACACACACACACACACACACACACACACACACGTTTAGATAGTGTATGCACCAGAGTCTGTTCGTGGATAGCTTTGCTTCAGATTTCTAGGGAGAATCAAAACCCGAGTTCCTAGGGACACACCAGTTTGGATAAGTGACTGCTGCTTCTTAATTAAAAAGCTGGCGCCCAGAAAAACCTTGACGATCCCAGCAGTACTCAGTGTCCAGAATAATAGACTCTGCTATTAGGAAGCTAACAGGGAACATTTCTTTAAGGAGAGAGATGGGAGTATGTGGGTGTGCAGCCGGAAGTGCACATGTATGGGATGTGGTAGAGTCGGGCACCCTGAGAGGGAAGGATCGTAGGCACGGATTGGAAAGAGGGGGGGCATTACAGGACAGGAAGGGTGGACCCACATGAGGCGTAGGTGCCAGGAGAGGGGTGGGTGCTGTAGGTCTGCTGCAATGTCCTTCCTTTAACCTACTAGCCCGACCCCATCTCTCTCCTCCTTGCAAAACCCTCTCCAGATTCACCTCTAGTCTCCTCTCTCTTGAATTAATCCTCCTTTCTCCAGAGCTGCCTTCAGCCACGCAGCCTCTGGACATCTGCGGCTGATTAGAACAGATTTTAGCTGTTCTGATATGATTTGTGCTAATATGTGTAGAGGGTGCCCCATTTCCTCTTCATCACCCTCCTTTCCCTCCCACTCCAGGAGATCCTCCGGGCCAACGACGGGTCTCTTGTTTTCCTCAACTCTTTATAGCAATTCATGTGTTCTTGACACTTAACGGCGGCTTAATAAATTCTCATGGCTGCCTCTTCTTACAGGGTTAAGTAAGACATTAACCTCAGATGCGTGATGACGGTTATTTTTGGAGATCTTTAAGTGACTCACTTTAATAATAAAATGCCTCAATGATCCCAAACTAAGAGATGTGTGCTGTTTCACAACCATGTCTGAGACCCAGGGAAGCTGTGTTTACGAAGCCTGGCAATAGGGCCAGGTTGTGCCTATGCCTCTCGGCCATCGGCTCTGCACCCCTGCGCACCCCAGCTCTGCACCCCTGTGCACCCCAACCCTACTCTCACCCCACTCCCACCCCAGTCCCCTCTTCCCAGGCTGACCCCAGGCCTTCCTGCTCAGCTTTCTTTTCTTTGGCTTAGAACTTCAAACGACGATTTTCCACTGAAAATCGTGGATATTTTCAAAGAAACCTCACCTAAGGATATTCTCCCCCAGCCCGCCCTAAACAGCCCAGGCTTTGACCACACCACCCACATCCTCCTCCCTAGCCCTTCCTGGTCACATTCTGAGAAACCCAAGGAGAGCTCCTGCCACGTGACCCCTCGGCAGATTTCAGATTTGGAGGATGACTTCAGGCGCAGGCAGCCGAGGCTGGTTTCAGGGTAACCCGTGTTTGCAGTGGGCGCCTAGCCTGGGAGGGCGCTTCCCCCCACCCCCACCCCCCGGCTTCCTTCCACAGCATCGTGTTACCAATCAAGAAGGGCCCATCTTCTCCTTCCTGACATATCCATGTCACCTCTCGTCTTACTCTCTGGAAGGGAGAAGCAGCTTGTTAGAAACTTTGGTTTTGCCTTCTCCTGGCAGACGCTCGCGAAAGCAAACACCTCAGAGGCCACTTTCATCTCCGCCAATTTCTAAGCGTATGCTGGCGTGGGGGGAAGGTTTGCATCATTACAAGGAGGTCCTTGTCACCTTTCCTTACCCGTGCTTTGGGGTTTTAGAGAATCTTACTCAAAGCTCAGTAGAGACTGGGTCCCCTTGCTTCTTTCTGGAAAGCAAATTAACCTCTGACTTCATTTCTGGTTGTAAACTCTATGACTCTCCAGTGTTGGGGGAAAGTATGTAAGACGCGGCGGTTTGATGCATATGCGCGTGCGTGTACACACACATACACACACACACACACACACACACACACTTACCATCAGGAAGCTGGTACAACTGAGATGGCAGGACACTGAAATAATCATGACCGAGTGCCTCCTGTGCTGAGACGCGGTCCCTGGGGAAGCCTTTTAGCATCTGGGAGGCCAAGTCTTCGGCTTCAGGAACTCTACCCAGCCTGGAAGGAAGAAATAGAGTTTCTGTAGAGGCCGTTATGCTGGAAAAAGGGGGTGGGGTGGGGTGGGCAGGCAGATAAAAACTGAAGAAGAAGTGACGAGGCTTAACATGTCTCAAACAAGGCCCTTCCCGGGCCACCAAAGCAGATGGCAAGTGGACACAAATCACCCAACACCAAAACTCTTACGTGGCCTGTCACTAGGAGGAAGGGAGACAGTCACCCTTTACCTCCACCGTATCACTGGGCACTATGTGCACACAAAGGACACACATTTGTGATTATAGAGACAGAATTATATAATTAAGGCTTCTGCAGGCCCAACCAAGCAGAAAGGTCTAGTTGGCAGGATGTTCCAGGCTCTGGATACCAAAGACGGGAAGCAGGAGTCCTGGGCGGGAGATGGGATGGGATGAACCTGGAGAGTGGAGGTTGGGTGTTAATAGCCTATTAACATGGTTCCTGATGCTCAGCACCAGGTTCATCAGCTAAGACATGTCCTTGGTTCCTCTCAAGATGGATCTGGGCGGTGGCAATAATTAATCAAGTACCCAGGTTGTAGAAATGACTCATCCTGAAGATGCGCAGCTTCATTTACTGAGCAGCTAATACATGTTGACAGATGGCTGGCTCCAGAAGGCACCAGGCAAAACTGACCCCTAGGGAGAGTACAAGCTCTCACCAAGCTGTCACACAAGCGCACAGGTACGTTTGGGAAGGAAAAGGCTCCCCTCTAGTCTGAAGGTTTGAATTCTTGGCATTAGAAGGTCTGGCCTTGGGGAGATAACTAGGTTATTGGGGAAGAGCCTGCATGGTTGGCCCAGGACCTTCATCAAATGAACTTTGGGGAAGTCTTTTGTTTCTTCTACTGTGTGAGGACATGTCAAGAAGGCATCATGTATGAAGCACAGGGCCCTCATCAGACATTAAATCTCCTGGTGCCCTCATCTCAGACTTCCCGGCCTCTGGAACCTTCTTGTTGATTATCAATGATCCAGAGTGTTTTGTCGTACCAGGTTGAATTATCCAACTAAAATACTGTTTATTCTAGCAGCCCTGATCCCTGACCTGCAACAGAAGGAGGATGTGGTCAGGACTGGAGCCTGACATTCTGCATTGAATGGCATGGCCACAAATGAACCATTCAAACCAAACCTAGAGGGGCTTGCTTAACGTCAGAGCCACACATCAGCATAAAGCAAGGAGGAGCATGTGTTCCTTTTAGACATGCGTGGTGCAAGGATGCTGGAGGTCCTGTCCTACACTTGTGATTTGTCTAATTTTCTCGTGAGGTTTGCATAAGAAACTTTCAGGGGATCTGATTTCTGCAATATAAATCTGTTTCTGCAAACAGGTCATTAGTCTCTGACTCCAGAGTAACTGTTCCATAGACAAGATAAAGACATTCGGAAATCCCAGGGTAGGGCCCTGCTTACTTGCTGTGGCATGAAGGAGGACCGGTGGGTCGATTCTCCATGCTACATGTTCTGTCCGGGCTTTGGGACTGCATAAAACAGAAGCTACTGACCCATCACTCAACACATGTAATGCGTGGTTGTCTTCAGAGGAGTGAGACAACAGGTTTAATTGCTGAGCATACCCTGTATATACACATACATATACATATACACATACATGTACACATACATATACATATACACATACACATACACATACATGTACACATACATATACATATACACATACACATACATATACACATACATATACATATACACATATACATATACACATACATATACACATACACATACATATACATATACACATACACATACATATACACATACACATACATATACATATACACATACACATACATATACATATACACATACTTGTACACATACACATACATCATATACATACACACACACACACACACACACACACACATATATATCCTACCTTAGTATAAGAATCTCCTATCCCCTATTGTTGCTGCTAACCCTCACAGTAGGGGATGAGGCTGCCTACCACAAGTTCATCCGGGTACTGTGCTTTCCGCTACAGCCATAGAAAGGGGCTAGAGAGGCCGCGTCTCTGCTGCTCTCACTCTAGGATGTGGTAGACACCCATGGTAGGAAACATCCATCAGTGGGAAGGAACAATCATGAGGAGAGCTGTCCTAGCATTGCCCGCCAGTCTAAAACATGAGTCCATACTCACGAGGCCCACATTAAAGAGACTGCCCTTCACCCCACAGCAGGGCCCAGTTCTAGACCCACGCACGATCCCGTTGCTCCTCTGAAGGAGCTGTTCAGAAAGGCTGGGCATACCTCAGCTGGTCCAGGTTTACCACACTTGCCATCTGAGTCCGTTGTGACCCTGTGCAGCAGATGAACCCTGGTTCCTCCCCTCACCTTCTGGCTGACCCTGGTCAGGTGACCTAGTTTCTCTAAGCCTCTGTTCCTTCCTGTTCGACACCAGAATGTCACATTAAGAATGAATGCAGTGGGCTGGAGAGATGGCTCAGTGGTTAAGAGCACTGACTGTTCTTCCAGAGGTCCTGAGTTCAGTTCCCAGCAACCACATGGTGGCTCCCAACCACCTGTAATGAAATCTGGTGACCTCTTCTGGCCTGCAAGGACACATGTAGGCTGAACACTTTATACATAATAAATAAATAAATCTAAAAATAAAAAGAATGAATGTAACAATATGGAGCCCCCATAAGCACACAGTGGGCACACATCCTATGTAACATTAGTCATCTACAGAGCCAAGGATTTTCTCATGTGCTAACACAGGCCAACTGTAGTGATATATTATGTACCCCAATAAAGCTTACCAGAGGATCAGAGGACAGAGCCAGGCACTAAATTAGACATAGAGGTCTGGCAGTGGTGGCACACACCTTTAATCCTATCACTTGGGAGGCAGAGATCTGTCTGGATCTCTGTGAGTTCAAGGCCACACTGGAAACAGGGCCAGGCAGTGGTGGCACACACTTTTAATCCCAGTACTCAGAAGCACGCACACACACGCCTTTAATCCCAGGAAGTGACGGCGGGGCAGAGAAAGGTATAAAAGGCCTGAGGAAACAGGAACTATGGCAGTTCAGCTGAGATCTTTTCAGGTGAGGACTCAGAGGATCAGCTGAGGAGTTGGTGAGGTGAGGTTGGCTGTGGCTTGTTCTGCTTCTCTGACCTTTCAACTTTCACCCCATATCTGGTATTGGGGTTTTTTATTTAAAAAAAGAAAATCTAAGATTTAAACAACAGCCAATCCTGTCCAGTAGAATTTTCCACAGTAATGAAAACAGTCTATTTTTACTCAGTCCAATATGGTAGGCACTGTCCACATGTGGCTGTTGAGCCCTGGGAAATACGAGTGGTGCAACGGAACAACTGAACTTTACGATTAATTTGGAAGGATTTCATTTTGAGAGCTGGGCGTGGCTAAGGGCGACGGCATTAGCAAGGCTCCAGATACGACTTCTTGCTCCAGGGACCAAGCAGAGAAAAGGGGAGTCTGAGCAAAGGCCAGAGGCACAGGAATGGGCAGAGGCAGTCGGTGATATGTGGTCAGGAGAGTCACAGACAAAGAGAGGGGGGCGAACTCATGACATCAGGAAGCCAGTGGCAGAATCAGCCACAACAGCGGCAGCATCAGGCATTCAGTTGCTTTGTGGTTTGGAGTTTTAATTGTGGAAGGGAGGGGAGCGGAGGAGCTGGAGGAGCAGCATGGAGATTCAAGTATCTCGAGGCTAGGGCGAGGGGGCCCAACATGCCCACAAGAGGATGGTTGTGCTTTTTGTTGTTATTGTTTTAGCAAGGTTAAATTGATTGCAATCTTAACGCTGAGACAACTAAAATCAGCCCTGTTCTGCTTAGAAAATGGAGCTGACCCAGCTCCTACTTAGGGCCTCAAAAGCATGTCATTGATAGCCTGGGGACTCCAAGGGGTGCTCAAGGTTAGACCGACGTTCCTGCCAGCTTTGACATAGTTTTTGAATGAATATTTTAAAATCATTGACACCTAAATCTAAAAAAAAAAAAAGAAGTGTGTTTTTATTTGCCAATGCCACTCAATTAAATGTCTTGTAGTAAAGATAACTTGCATACACCTTTAAGCACTCAGGAGGCAGAGGCAGGTGGATCTCTGAGTTCAAGGCCAGTCTGGTCTACAGAGTGAGTTCCAGGACAGCCAGGGCTACACAGAGAAACAACAACAAACAAAAGACAATTAAAATAAAATGTCATGATAAAGTGATAAATCTACAGTCTGTTGTGTTCGCTTAGCAGTAATTGTGACTAAAGTTTGCACATCCCAAAGGATATAATTATATATAAAATATAATTCCTGGGAACATGCCTCTGAAGTAATGGGGTGTGTGTGTGGAGTGTTCAAGTCATTCTGTGCTTTGAAAACAAGGATATCTTGGAGGCCTTGTCTCTCTTAATAAGAGATTCCCCTGGCAGTCCATGGCTCTGTGTTTATTCTTTGTACCCCGTTTTTCACTCTAAACTTTTAAAAACGTACAAATGGTACATATGGAACAATCAAGCCACATTTGGTTAGATTAAACCACTCTGCATATTCAAAGGCCAACATTCCAGCGTCCAGTTGGGATCTTGGCTGGGGAAGTTTTCCCTGCTCCCCACCTGCATGAGTGTTTTCCTTTGACACCCGAGCTCCTTCACCCAGCCTCTGATGTCTCCCTCACTGCCCTTTCTGCCTCCTCACTGAAGCAAAAAGAACAGAGCCTCCGCTAATTGCTCTCAGTTCAAATAATGCCGGTTATTGTAATTGGTCATTGTCCGAAAACACTGAGTTCTTCTTCGCCCAGGAGCCGCCTGGCTCGGCATAGTTAGCTAGCTATTCCCGGAATGTCTCTATTATCTGTTTTACTTTGCAAAAGAAACTAGGGATTTGTTGAAAGCTGGTAATAAAAGTCTGCCCTGGCCTGAGCTGAGACCATGTTGAGAGGGCCTGGGAAAGCATGACCCTCCATGAATCAGGTTCCCCCTCCAATGGCCACTCAATGATGTTATTTGGTTTCTGTCTGTCAGAGAATAATAAACCCACTAGGTTCTCTTGGAGGCCCAACACTGCTGCTCTCAGGGCCTGGGGCAGGGCTGAGGGGCACAAAACAATTTTAATGACCAAACTCACTGAAATGGTTCATAAAGAAAAACTAACACCCTCCCAGGGGGGGGGGTGGCTCTCTCCGAGGCATCTTTCTGGGGCTCAGATGGAGGTGCTGGGGGCTGGCGCTCAGTACGCTGAGGTCTAGGGGAGCATCTCTGTTCTCCGTGTCTAAAGAGAAGAGGACCGGCCAATGTGGCGCTTACCTGCTCCAGACAAGCTGCAGGCTTTGAGGCTTAGGCAGCGGGAACCATTCTGGAAAGCACACAGAGAAACATTAAAACTGAGAACAACCCTCCGATGGGTTGCCAAAAATATTATTAAAATTCCAAATGCTCTTCTTGGCTTGGAGTAAAAGAGGATTCTAGAATCAGGGAAGCTAACTACTGACTTTTAAGGCCTCCTCTTGGAATGTTAATGATTCACTGAAAGCTACTATTAGGCATGAATTTTGTGTCCTTCAGATTCCCGTGTTGAAGTCCTAATACAGAGTATCATAGGATAGGACCTTATATGGGAAGAGGGTCCATGTGACATTCTCATTAGGGTGGGGCCTAGTATAATTATGGTATCCTCATAAAAAGGGAAAATTTGGACAAAGAGATATGTGTTAGGAAAGATAACACAAAGAACTGCGAGAGCAGCTATCTCCAATCCAAGAATCGACACCTGGAGAGACCCTGCCTTGGTCCTTGGAAAGACCCTACTCTGCGGATGCCACCCTTTCAGAACAAGGAACAAGGCGTTTCTGTTTTTGAGCTTCTCAGTTTGTGGTCTTTTGATACGGCAGCTTTCACAAACCACTGTGGTTAAAACAGCCAGTTGAATTAACAAACATATAACATACTGTGTGTAGAGTGTGTGCCAAGTGCTGAGGATCAAGAAACCAAAAGGAACTCCCTGACCCTCCCAGAGCTTACAATTCATCTCAGAGAATAAAAGCACACACACACACACACACACACACACACACACACACACACACACACACATGCGCAGCTGGGCATGACACCTCAAAGCTATAATCCCAACACTGGAGAGGCTGAAACAGGAGGACCGTCATGAGTTTGAGGGCAGCCCATGCTACAGAGTGAGACCATGTCTCAAACAAACAAACAAACAAACAAACAAACAAAACCAGTAAACAAACAGACAAAAACAAAATCAACTACCACCACTACCACCACCACAACAGAAAACCATGTACCAAGTGATGGGGTAAAGTCTCAAAACTCAAACGTGGGGACGGGAAAGATGGCTCAGTAGTTAACAGTGACTACCGCTCTTTCAAAGGACCCCAGTTGGACTCCCAGGATTCCCAGCAGGTAGCTTTCAACATCCTGTAACTCTAGCTCAGGGGAGATCTGATGCCTTTGGCCTCTGCAGGCAGCTGTATTCACGTGCACACACCCACACATAGATACACACACATACACATAATTAGAAAATAAAAATAAGCCTTAAAAACAAACAATTTTTTTAAAGTAAGGGGAGTATATAATTTTATACACTGCTTGTGATACAACAGAAGCAGATCCTGGCTTAGGTAATTCATCCTCAGGCTGGCTCAGTGGGTAAAGTGCTGGACCATGTAAGCCTGGCAGCCTGTGTTCCATCCAAGGACTCACGGCACAGCTGGGTGTGGTGTGCACATCTGTAACCCCAGCAATCCTACAGCAAGATGGAAGGCAGAGCCAGGAGAAATGGCCTAGAAGCTACCATCAGGTCAGCTAGCCTGGGGTACACAAGGCAGCAGAAACAGGGAGCCCCTGGCTCGGCAAGAAGGAATGCCAAACCCACTCCCCCAAAGCTGCCCCCTGACCTTCACACACACGCCATGGCACATGTGCAAACACACATACGCACACATACAAAACATGTGAAAATTTTCTAAGGGGGCATCACTGGAGAGATGGCTTAGCAGTTAAGAGTGAATGCTGCTTTTGTAGAGGACCTGGGTTCAGTGTCCAGCAGCCATCCTGGGTGGCTCACAAGGGCTCGTAACTCCAGCTCCAAGGGGTCCAATGCTCTCTTTCTGCCTCCTAAGACACCTAAACACACGTGGCATTCACACACACACACACACACACACACACACACATCCGCATGTAAACAAAAATAATAAAAGCAAATCTGTAGGGATGGCAGGATGGTGGGTCAGTGGTTAAGCAAGAACTCTTGCCCAGCATCCATATCAGACAGCTCACATGCCTGTGACTCCAGACCCAGTGGGTCCAGTGCCCTCTACTGGCCTCCACAGTCACCTGCACTCATGTGCATATTACCCACCCCCTCCCCAACACACACACATAATTAAAAAAATAAAATCTTTTTAAAGCTTTAAAAATTCTAAAACGGATAGTAAAAAACAGAATGTTATTGGGAGCATGCTGTATTATTTATATGGGGATACACAAATTTCTTTTTGCTTTTGGTTACGACATTCGTGTCAACCCGAACTAAAACCACAATGAAAGGGGAGTTTTTAATTCTAGAAATAATAATTCAATTTGGTTGAGTCAGCATCCAGCTCTCCTGGCTCTTGGGAGGCAGAGGCAGGAAGGTCACCCCAAGTTCAAGGGCTAAATAGGGGACACTCCATTTCAACAAACAAATAAGAACTAGTAATTGACTTCTGGGTGTGGGGCACATGTGTAGCAGGAATCTTAAAAGTTCTTATAAATAAAATCAAACCCGAGGCGAGTTATTGGGGTCCATGCTGGTAGATCAGAGAGACAGAACAAGCCACAGCTATCTCACCTCACCGGATCCTCAGCTGGTCTAGTCTCCTCAGACTGGAGGCCTCTGAGTCCTCATCCAGAATGGGTCTCAGCTGAATTACTGCTCAAAAGCCTGAAGCCTAAACAAGCCAAAATCTTCTAGTTTCTGGTCCTCATGCCTTATATATCTTTCTGCTTTCTACCACCACTCCCTGGGATTAAAGGCTGGCTTTCTGGGATTAAAGGCGTGTGTCACCATGCTTGGCTATTTCCAATGTGGCCTTGAACTCACAGAGATCCAGAGGGATTTCTATCTCTGGAATGCTAGGATTAAAGGTGCGAGTGCCACCATTTTCTAGCCTTTGTATCTAGTGGCTGTCTGTTCTCTGACCCCAGATAAATTTATTAGAGTACACAATATTTTGGGGAACACAATACCACCACACACATGTCCATGGTCGCCACACTTGGCAGGCAGGAGCAAGAAGGTGGAGAGTTCTAGGCCAGCCTAGACTACTTATGGGGCCCAGACAAGGTAGCAAACTAATAAACAGTGATTGAAAGTCTAATGGACGTAAGGGCCACAAGAGAAGCTGTGGATGAAGTCAACTGATACTGCTCTTCAAAGTCCCCCTGCCTGCCCCCACTTCCTTTGTTCTTTCTCGAGACAAGCAGCTTAGACTGGCCTCAAACTTCTGATCCAGACTAAAGAAAAGCATTTCAACTCTAATTGAAAATGGCATTTCTGGTCTTCCCTTTTCTTGGACCTAAAATATGATTGTTTTGGTTCTCAAAATCCCTTCTTCTAGGTTCTTTATAAATGGAATAAACTAAGACTGAGTATCGTGGCTAAGAATTTAGTCATCCTTAGGGTGACAGCCACTTTGATAACCCTGACATGTGCCTGTTGATAGGTACACAGAAAGACCTAGAAGACTTTGTAAGTGCCTGGGACTAGAGGGGCTCACTCTTCATGTTTATGTTCTCTCTCTCTCTCTCTCTCTCTCTCTCTCTCTCTCTCTCTCTCTCTCTCTCATTGGTTTTTCGAGACAGGGTTTCTCTGTGTATCCTTGGCTGTCCTGGAACTCACTCTGTAGTCCAGGCTGGTCTGGAACTCATAGAGACCTGCCTACCTCTGCCTCCCAAGTGTTGGGATTAAAGGCGTGCAACACCATGCCTGGCTTTATTTTCTAAAAAAAAAAAAAAAAATTAAATACAAAGCATATACAGTTAGCCTTCCATATCTGAAGACTCCTAGCCACAAATTCCCCATGAATTCAACCAATGATGAATTGAAAATGTACATAATTTTTAATTGCTGGGCCAGACATAGTAACTCAAACATATAATCCTGAGAGAGGAGGCTGATATAATTCAGGGCCAGCCTGGGCTACATAGTAAGACTCTTGTCTCAAACAAAAAAATAAAAAGTAAATTGCTAGGGCAATTGTAGTGGATACATTCACATTTTTTGATCATTATTGGAGAGTACTAGACAATACATTATAACAATTATTCACATAGCACCGTGTTAGACAATGGACTCATGCTCTGAGGATCCCAACAGACGACGATATTAGTTTTAATTTCAAGAGTAAGTTCAATTACAAGTTTATTTACAGTGCTGAGCTGTAGAGTAAAAGGAGTGATTAAAGAAAGCTCCTGAAACTGAGTTCCCAAGGTCAGTTGCAACCAGACGGGACCATGCAGCTAGCGGTGTAGTGGCCCTGGTGGGAACTAAGGAGTCACTTGTGTATAAGGCTGCTCCATTTACTAGCCTGTGCCTACATTCAAAATAACTAGTAAAGACAAGACTGTCTGAAGTCTCGACTATTACTTAGTGTTTACTGACAAACTACTTCCTGCTACCTGTTTGCTATTCTCACCAGCAAAAATAAATAAGAAAGAAAGAAAAGAAAAAGAAAATTGCTGTGGGATGGCCTGTATGTCAAATTACTCTGATTGGTCAATAAATAAAACACTGATTGGCCAGTGGCTAGGCAGGAAGTATAGGCGGGACTAACAGAGAGGAGAAAAGAAAGAACAGGAAGGTGGAAGGAGTCACTGCCAGCTGCCACCATGACCAGCAGCATGTGAAGATGCCGGTAAGCCACGAGCCACATGGCAAGGTATAGATTTGTAGAAATGGATTAATTTAAGCTATAAGAACAGTTAGCAAGAAGCCTGCCATGGCCATACAGTTTATAAGCAATATAAGTCTCTGTGTTTACTTGGGTGGGTCTGAGCAGCTGTGGGACTGGCAGGTGACAAAGATTTGTCCTGACTGTGGGCCAGGCAGGAAAACTCTAGCTACAGAAAATGGTTCCTTGTTCAATCACATCCTCCAGTTTCCAGCCAACAGAACAAAAATCATTGAGACTTCTGCCAGTTATTTCAACCAGGGTGTCTTAGCAGCTTTTCTATGGCCACGCTAAGCCGCCGTGGCCAAGGCAACCTATAGAAGCGTTTATTTGGGGCTTACAGTGTCAGAGGGTCAGGATCCATGGCCGTCATGGTGGGTGGGGAACAGGGCCG